AAATACTTTTCTATTATTTTCATGAGCAACAATGAAACCATGAAAATCAAATGTTTACTAGAAAAGATTAGAGGTTAAAATAATCATCCTTCAGGGGGCTGGAGAAATGGCTCAGTGGTCTAAAGCACCTACTTGGAACAAGCTTGACAAAGCACAGGGACCACGGTTCAATTCTCCAGCACCACATGCCAGCCAGCCATACCCCTGGTGGGATGAGCTGCCCCCCCATAAATGTTAAAATTTTTTTAAAAAATTAAAAAAAAAAATAATAATCATCCTCCAGATAAGAACCACTTACGTGTACCGCTCATAACAAACAATACTCATGACAATTGTTTCTGAATTTCAAATTGAATGCTCAAAAAAGGTAATTTACCATATATTTCCTCATGCTTTATTAGTATGGCTAAAGGCATTTGTTATAGGGTCATTCAAAACATTCACCTGATTTCAATTCTTTTGAATATGAACTGAGAAATAAATTGAAGATTACAGAGTCTATTGTATATTCTATTATATCATTATTCTTAATCTTTTGAGGCGCCAACATCATCCTGCTTCCGTGGCACTGCACCCCGGCCCATGCCCACCAAGAGCGCCCGTGTGTTCTACTTTCACTATATCTTTATCCTTGCTATTCTGTGAGTTTTCTGGTAGCCATCCCAGTGGCTGGTGGGTATCACTTCATAGTTCTGATGTGTACTTCCCCACTGATCAGTGGTGGCAAGCATCTTTTTACGTGGCCATTTTTATACTCTCTTGGTGCCTATTCAAATCCTTCGCACTTTTGTAAATGGGGTAGCTTGCTTTTCTGCCGTTGAGCTTTATCAGTTTTTTTTTTATATATTCGGGTACTAATTCCATTTGTGCAAATGTTTTCTCCATACTGTGGTTGCCTCTACTCTGATACACAAGATATCTTAATTTGATATACAAAATACCTTAATTTGATACACAAGATATCTTAATTTGATATATAAGATATCCTAATTTGATATACAAGATATCTTAATTTGATATACAAGATACCTTAATTTTATATACAAGATATCTTAACTTTGGATTGGACTCATGGAGTCCAATTTGTTTTTTGTTTTTTTTTTCCAATTTGTTTTTGTTACCTGTCCCTTTGGTGTTCTATTCAATAAATTAGCACCAAATACAATGACATGCAATCTTTGTCTATTTTTTTTAAAGAATTATTTATTTATTCATTCATTCATTTTGTGTGTGTGGCCAGCTCAGCCCACCAAGGGGCGGGGCTGTCTGGCATGTGGTGCTGGGGGATTGAACCGCGGTCCCTGTGTTTTGCTTAGCTTAGCTTGTTCTAAGTAGGTGCTTTAGACCACTGAGCCATCTTACCAGCCCCCTGTCTATTTTTTTTTAACAATTCTATAATTTTTAGTCATGCATCTAGGTCACGGGTCCAGTTTGAGTCACTTTTGATAGTAGATGAAGATCCAACTTCCTTATTTTGCATGTGATCTCTAGCTTTTCAGCATGATTTATTTAAAACAAACTTTAATCCTTGAATGGTCCTGGCACCTTGTTGAAAATCTGACCCTACAAATGAGGATTTATTTTCAACCCTATTGTGTTATATGTCTGTCTTTATGCCCACACAGCCTCATTTTATTGACTAGCTTTGTAGCAAGTCTTGCATTAGAAAGTAAAAGACACTGCACTAAAGCTTAGGATGCAGTTTTCTTGGCCAGGTATATTAAACACTTTCCACACTTAGAAATATGCGACTTGCATTGTGAAGACATTTATATTAAATCAGGTAAACTCCTAGATGCCACAACCTGAGGGGCAGGCCAAATAACTCAAGCAGGTGCAGGGGCCCAGGTTAGGTCCCTGGGCCTGCCTTGCCAGCCCCACCCCCAGGGAGTGCTAAACCAGCAATTGAGACTGGGCGTCGTGGCACTCACCTGTAACCCCAGCTCTTGGGAGGCTGTAAACAGGTGGATCACTGAGAATCTGATTTAGTATGAATACCCTGTAGACCCTTCTCTAAAGTACACACTCAAAAAAGATGCCAGAATCTGCATGCTATGGATACAAGTCTATGCCTATAAACCTCCTATCTCCATTTTCTTTTATTTCTAGACAGCATTATTAAAAATTCTTCTATCTAGGCTAAGTAGGCATTTATTCTTGCTGTCCCTTCCTTGTCAAACTCATCTATTTATTCATTTAATTACTCAATCAAATGACTCTCAGGAATACAGAATACAGACGAGGAAGCTCTCAGGCTCTCAACTACTGAAAGGATGTAGGGGACACGAAAATAACCTGTTAGCCTCTTGGACTGTGAGGAGGGCAGGAGGAAGGGCTTGCAGCATTTCTGGAAAAGGGGAACTGCATGCTCAATCAAGGCACCTGGCACGCGGACCTCAAGCAGATCATAGGAATGATAACTGAGGGGTGAGCCTGAAGTGCAGTATTGTTGGGATGGAGGCGAGGTTGAGCTGTGACGGGACAGGCAAGGCAGGCACCTGACTACCCAAGGTGCACGCAAAGAATGAGCTGGAGTAGAGCCGCAAAAGCAGCAGCATCACCAGGTGCTCAGTTCTGAAAGCTCCTTTTAGCTATTGTGTGGAAGACAGCTCCACCCAAATACCAGCAAGTCTGCTGCAGAGGTCTGAGATAATGAGGAGCGGAGCCAAATTAGTAACTGTGGAGTGACTGCAGGAGAGCCTGGGAAAGCACTCACAAGGTAGGATGAACAAAACTGCCTGACTAACTGGGTGTGGGAACATGAGAGAAAAGGGCAGGGGCTGGAGGAGGCTTTCCCCATTTCTAGACTGGATGGGAGGTGCTGACGTCACCAGCTGAGACCACAGCCTTAGCAGGAGGGGAAGAAGCTTCATGGGAAGCTAATAAATTCTACAGATGATGTGTTGAATTTGAGGTATCTGTGAGAATGCAAGTCAAGACTTTGGAGTCACGTGAATGTCCTTGGAGGCCCCAGGAATTGCAGGATTGTATCTGGTATCCTGATCCTCACAGCAGAGACAAAACCGCAGCATGAAGGAAGCTGTAGGGATGCGTTGGAGATCCCAGAGTTGGTATAAAGATAATCTTCTACTGGACATTTGAGATTCACAAGGTGCAGAAGGAGGTCTCAGAGCTTCCCTTCCTGACCATGAGCAGTCACTTCTGGGATGATGGAATTTTCTTTCTGGCAGAACCAGGGATTAAACTCAGGCCCAGGCCCCTGCGCTTGCCAGGCAAGCGCTTATTCTACTGAGCTATCTCCCCAGCCTGGGCAGTCACTTCTGGGAAAGGAGGTTAGTGATAAGGATCAGCATATTCTTCCACCAAACAGGGTTCCTTGGCATTTCAGGAAATAGTAGAATTCCCCCTTTCTGTCTTCCTGAAGCAAGTCATTCTGTGACCTTTCCCTGAAATAGGTCATTAGACTCATCCCAGAGATGTCTTCCCGGTGCCTAGAAGAAAGGAATGATTTTAATCTCCCACGCACAAGGACACAAAGAAAAATGTGAACAAATGGGTCATGCTACATTCCCCCCTCTTAGCTTATTGCCATTAGAATATATCCACTTTGTCCAGTCCTAATTCTTCACAGCAGTCCAATTCTCCCTCAGATTTACCATACAAATTCACACGTTTCCTCAGTGCAGTGGTTCTTCACTTTTGAGGTCTCCTGTGTCATGCAAAACATATATTAATACAATTATATGCTTTTTCTCTTGTTAACCTGTCCTGTGGTACAGAGTTCTGTTGGAGACCAGGAATTGTAAATTGCCATAATGTCCTAGGCTCCCCTTACCCTTCCTGCCTTGTGGGCAGGTTTTCGAAATACCTTCCTCTCTCAGTGGATGAGGTTGGAACCCTGGTGTGGGGATGGATCTTGGTTTGTTTCTTTTGTGATGTTAAACTTGCCCATTGTACCACAGCCCACAGTTCCAGGAAAAGCACCTGCCCCCGCCCCCACACTGGCTAAGAAATAGTAGCTGGCTATGAGTGTCTTTGTCTCTGTGTGTCCCGAAGCACTGAGCTCCCAGCCCCCCATCATGTATTACTAATTTTATCTGTTTCTTATTTCATCTTTTCACCACACCCCTCAATCATGTAGTTGGGGATCTTGGCCTCCGAGCAATGAGTAGACAAAGAAATCTCTTTTCCTCCACTATTATAAATCCCTATGGGAGAGGACAGAAGTCTTTCCATACCTACCACTAGATTCATGGCTAAGAACCTAATTATATAGCACCAATAACAAAAGAAAAGCATGCAATTTTACTTAAAACAAGTTTTACTTGCCTGTGTAAGGAAATGATGTCCTGAAAAAAATGGGTAAATGTTTATATTTTATGTTAGGTTTGATGAAGTAGATGGCCATGGGGAAGTATAGTTGGATTAAAAAAAAAAATCCTATGTTATAAGAAGCTGGAAGATTTGTTCTAATGGTGTTTGTAAATAGGATCACAAGTCCGCATCTTGTACAGCAATTAACCACTAAGAAGAATATATG